TTACAAAAGACACAAAATTGGGGAGGTGAGTGGGGATAGCAGGTAGGTGGGGAGGGGGGCTGAATATATTCAAAGTACATGAAAATATTCTTGTGAGAGCTATCACTATGTACAATGGATCTCCCCCTACACACACACACACACACACACACACACACACACACACACACACACAGAATGTTTCATGGAGGTGGAGTTTTTATTTAGATTGTTCAAGGCTCCGAGTTCCGTTCCCAGCAATGCAAACTAACACATGCACACACATAATTCACAGATACCAATAGTTCCTGGTTCAGGAGTACCAGCACTTACAAGATAACAGAATTAGAAAATACCTTTGTTCGTTTTTATAGCTAAAAGTCATGTAATCAGTCTGATGGAAACAGGCTTCACACTTGAGTATATCATGTGCCTACAAGCTCTCACACACAAACACATTAAATGTTTAAGGTGGGGAGCAAAGCCACCTAACGATCTCCCATATACTGTCGTCCCAAGTGTGTATATTCTCTCTAGCCACAGTTTCCTGTCCTTGGGGGTGTTGACATCCCTCTCCCTTGCCAGATGAGCCTCCTGTAACATTTACAAAGGGTTCACTTCAAAGCATGAAACCCAGATTTCCCACCAATTCCTGGTCTCCCAAAGGAGAGTGGAGAAAAGGCAGCTGAACAACAGTGGATCCTTTTATTTTGGTAGCCTAGCACATTCTGCATCCCTCTGGCCTACATATCATTTAACAAACTGCCCTGTGATTCTTGCGGGGCGTGGCATCCCCACTGATTTAAAATCCCCGCATTGCTCAAACTGCATTGTTCTTCATCAAGTTGAGTCGTTTTTATGTGAAGTGTCAAGCTCCCTAACAAATACCTCCTGCCAGACAAATCAAGTCCCTCGTCGGAGAGCCGCGGCTAAATAGTTTATAGCTTTAATCTGCTCACCGAGGTGTGCAGTCTATGACAGTAATTATAAATGCAAGGAGAAATTATAGCTGAATGCCTTAACAGCATTAGGAGCTGTTTGATGAACAATCATGGGTGCCTGCTCATTTCCAACAATAGAGGGCAAGTTAGTGTCAATGCATTAGAGAGATCGCAGTTCTGCATGGCTTTTTCTCGCATTTACCACGGAATGTCACTTGTCTCCTATAAAGTAGGAAAAAAAAAAAAAGCATCGTGGAAAGCTTTAAACTTGATAGTTAGAAAAAAAAAACAGACAAAGAGAGAAATGCAGAGGAAAACGGTTTATCATTGCGACTTGTATTTTTCTGTTTTGTTTTGCAGTAGGTTGGCTTTAAAATGAGCTAGCTCGTGGAAGGTGACAGACGGACTGTTTACTTACGAGGGACCTTGAAAAGAACTCCCCCCCCCCAAGCCTTGTTTTTAAATGCTTTTATAGAGACCGACTTCATTAACTGAAGGGCAAGTTCAGAATGATCTCTGAGGGGCGGCCCCTGCAACTGTGCGTGTTGTGTCCCCTCTGCTGGCTCCCCAACCCCTTCGTGCGTCTTCCTAACCTAATGACGCAATTTACTCTTTATTTTCCCTCCTCGCTTTTGCAGAAAGACGTTTTTAATTTAGCTGAAGAATTACACAAATGTATTTTAAAGACATAAATCCATATAAAAAATATGAGCTAATTAAAACATTGCACTCCCTGTCGCTCATGGAGTTTCAATTTAGCAAAAGGAAAAAAAAAAAAAAAAACCTCAGGATCACGTCTGGTTAAATGAAAAGATGATAGTGATGGCAGGCTGGAGTAAATTAAAAACAATGTTGATCTATATTAAAGCATCGAATTACACACGTCAAGACTGAGTGCTCAGAAGTCCAAATGAGGGGAAGTGCAATGGGGCGACGTGCCCAGGGAGGTAAGGCGGATCGCTCAAATGAAATGAAGAAGGAAATTAGAAGAGATTCTGCATTTGGTTCTTGTCACTTGAGAAGGGCCACAGCCCCCCCCCCCACGACCCCACTTCCCTGTCCCTCATTTTTGTCTCCACTTGTGGCCATACCCACCCTGAACACACTTGATCTCATACTATTTTGTTTGCCTAAAATGAATTCCTGAGAGCCAAGATGATACATACATATGTCCATGTGGATTTGGGTAATGTCTTGGTTAGATACTTTATACAAATGCATGTCATCTTCCAACTAAACAGGGGAATTAAAATGACAGGAAGGAAGGTGTCCCCATCACCCCACAGGTCTTCCCTAGGTCCCCATATTTCTGTGTGATGTTTCTGTTTCGGTCAACATCTGACTCTGTGTTGTGTTCGGTTCCTGAGATCCAGTACTCAGTGACACCATGGCTGCCTGCGCTCACTCTTTGATGCCCATGTAATAGCAATGATTCATAAGGACACATTTCTTATCACACACATCTGTCATTAGGCCACTCAGAATTGTGATTCATTTACAGCTCAGATTTCCTAGAAGCCCTGGCGGGGGGAGCCTTGCTTTTGGCACATCTCTTACCCACATGTTCCCGCCTCTCCCCTGCATTGTCTGTTGGTCATACAGTGGATCCTCAACTCCTCCAGCAGAGAGGAGGGAACCGAGGGTGGAAGGTAGCAGATGAACATTGGATAGATGCATGATACTCACAGCGTTGCTGACTGTGTGTGACTGGGGGGTGGGCGGAGGGATGGTGGGAACCTATTCACTAAGGATTCCTTTCCTTCAGGGGGAGGATGACAAGTGTAACCGTTCCTGACCCATAGGAAGCGGACAATAAATGGTAGTTTTTCTGTTGCTACCACAATCAAAGGCTCATGTTTGCAAGGCGAACAACATCTGGACATGAGCCCATCAATTGAGAGGATTGCAGACTCGAGGTACTTCCGGTGAGACTGCAGAACAGACAAGGGCTGTAGGGTTCGCCAGGGCTTCCTTTCATGGACTGACTGGGTACCAGGTGTTCTGAAGGTGATCACATGCATTTTCAGATCTTTTCATGAGCAGGCTATCATGCCTCCATTTGACAAATAAAATGGGGTTCAGCACTGTGGAAGGTACGAAGTTCGAAGTCAGGGTCCCCCATGAGTGCTCCCCATCTCTGTTTTCCTGGGGCAGGGGAAGGGCCTCTCCTATGCATTTCTTTTATCAGCTTCCCATGAGTTGCTGTCTTCCACTGGCCTCCATGGCAGCAGACTTTTCTCTTGGCCATTATTTTATTTCCTACGATCACTACCATGTATACCATGGAGCAGTGGCCTTCTTGACATGAGCTAATGCGTAAGTGAATGTCAGAGGTGGTGGACTTTGGGAAATGTACTATTGTGTCTATATCATTATTTATTTGATCAACCCGTATTTTATAGCGACGTTAGTGAGATAGCATGAACTGATGTGTGTGAAAAATTGCTACAAATCCTGGAAGTTTGCTATTGTAATCGGTGTTTTTGCTGGCTCACTGCTACGCCCGATCACTAAATAGAATGTGGTGTGTGGTAAAACACAACCAATATTTGCTGAGGGATGGAAGGACCAGAGGGAGGGAGGAGGATGGAAGGAAGGGACTTCCTTTAATGGACAGAGAAACTGAGGGTTCCTCTTACAGGCTTTAATGACTCCAGCCTGTTTGGCTATTCCTAGATTGGCATGTAATCTACATGCTTAATAATGACAGAATTACAGGTTTCCACGTTAAAAATGAATCTCATGTAAACAATGACTCCTTTTTGAAAATAAAACTATGGTCCACATGGTATTTGGGACACAGCTTTACTAAGAAGACTCTGTGGTTTATCTGAAGGGCAAGTTCAACTGGATTAGACGTCCATCCTTTATCTTATCTGGCAGCCTTCCATGCATTTCACCCAGAACATACATTTTCATCAAGCCATCCATAACAGAAGTGGCAGGTAGCTTGTTGGACTAGAATACATTTCTGCCAGCAGTCTCAAGGTTAGGTGTGCTGTTAAACGCATACACTATATTACGGGGTAATGACTATAATTTGAAGTCCTTATGCATTTGAGACTCAATGATTTACTCTCTGCTTAATTTCTAGTCAAGAGCAAGAGACTTTTTAAAGGCATATACAAATACATGCTGAAACTGTTTTAGATTTCTTACGTCCTAAGAGAGAGGATGGATGCCCAGTTAATACTTTTGAAGGGATTTTAACTGAACATTTGACTTTGCTACTTGGCAGGGTGTTCATAGGATTTAAGGTAAGCACAAGGAAGGAAAGAAAATTCAGGTCAGAATTCATGTCATTTAGGAATATGTAGATATAGTAAAATCTTGAATACCCCATTATATCCTGATATTTTTCTAAAATACCATGTCATTTTTCCTATCAGCTAAGATTAGAATTCCAGATGACAGTAGAACCCTGTGGCCATTTAAAACCACCAAGTTTTCTTTTTTTTCATAATAAATCATATAAAATTATAAAACAAACAATGAATAACAAAATATCATATGCATAAGTTCTAAGAAGTAGGCGGGGCTTACATGAATGACTCTAGTTGAGAGCTCTTTCCTAGGCGAGCCAAGCTTCAAGCATCATCTTGTCACACATGGGGCAAACATTTGGGCATATTGGAATAGTTTCCCTCTAAACACAAGCACACCCAGCACCCACATTCTCTCTTCAACACACGTGACACTCTCCCATTGACTGCACACTCCCATTGACTGCACACTCCCATTGACTGCACACTCCCATTGACTGCAATGGTTCCAAACCTTTGATGTCCACCCTGTCTGCTATTCCAGCATGGCAGGCAATGCATGGAGACAGAGCTATGCTATTCTATAGAGTGATAAGACTGTCATAAATTAGAAGTATTTATTCTGTACAAATGTGGACAGATGCAAAAATAGCAATCTTACCCATGTTGCTTTTGGGTTTCTAAGTAGCCCCGTGTATATTCGCCAAATTACTGGTTGATTTTTCACTTCTCTAGATTCTGACTTGGGGTGAATGGAACCTTCCTTTTCTTCCCTTCTCCCTACTTACATATCGCAGTTAAAAAATGATTACAGACCTAACAGGTGGAAAATCGACCTTTATTATAACACAAAATAAACATCACCTATTTGTTCTCTTCCCTGTGGTTTGGACCCACAATTATTAGATTTGAAACATACATCTCGTCTCTAGGTACTTTATGAATCTCCACCTTTTTGTTTTTGTTTTTTAAGGACCAGAAGAGCATAATGGCTAATTACATAAAAATTTAAAGTGTGATATGGCAAATAAATAGCATGTGGCAGAACCCCGAGCTCACTTGTGGGTTCAACAGATGCAAAACAGCTTTCCATTCAATAAGGTAAGATGTACAATCATGCTTGGAAAACCGGAGATGAATCTGCCCGGAACATCAAATTTCCATGATAAAAGCATGCAAACAACAGGGGTGGTCTTCACTGCAGCCCACCCAAGTCCGAAGCATGGGTTCCCACCCGGAGGATGGAGTCTCAAGTCAAACATATATTTCCTTCCTTTCTTTTTGACTGTCATCATACTCAGAACTTCTCTGCCTCTGTGAGATGCACTCAGAGCCAGGCCATGCAAGGACCTTTCTCTACCAGGAACTACCCTACCATCCCCACCTGTAGATCTTGACCTGGAAGTCCCCTGTGAAAAGCAAACGCCTTGAGAATGGAGGCTGGTAAGGGTTCATATGATATGCTATTACGAGCTTTCCATACTTTGTCGTGAATTAATTAAGAGCAAATCCGTAACGCTGTGGGACATAAGCTGGGCTGGGAGATGCAGAAGCTTTAGTTCATGGTGGGTCCTTGTGTTGGGGTGTAGCCCCAGGCAGAAATCGATCTAAATATGTGTTGCGGTCCCTAGAGTATGGGAGTGTCATGCTGGAGGGGTCAGAAAAGGAAGCAGAGGAATCCCGTGAGAGAGCTTTGTCCACATCCAGCCTTGCTTATTCTCTACATTTGAACACAGCCTATGTGACTAATCCACTAAGACATTTGCCTTTGGTCTCTGTCTTTTCTCCTGGAGGTGACATAAGTAACCTGGATACCGGTAGCTATACAAGGCATGAACTTCTATGATACATGGTACAAATTCATTTCTCCTTTCGGTACTGGGGCTCGAACCTAGGACCTTACGCATGCTGGGCAAGTGCTTTGCCACCTAACTGCACCTCCTGCTCGATAAAAATTACCTTGAAGCTGTGGGATGGACCCTATGCACTTGAGCGTATGCGGGCTGTGAGCCATCCATCCATCTCTATAGACAAAATGAACTCTCGGGGATGCCTTGCACCTATCTATGTTTATGGTGGGCTCGATCCAGAGCTTAGCCTAAAGAAAACCAAAAGGTGAGAGAGGAACGAAAGCCTCCTCCATTCTCATCTCCCTGTTCCATGGAGAAGAGCGCACCTCAACTCTCCACCTCAAGGGGTACCTGCTCTTCTGTAAGAAAACGAATGTAGGAAAGAAACAGGGAAGGAGTGGAAAGGTAGCCATCCATAAAAGTCAGCTACAGAATGCGTTCGTTGCAAGAACCATAAAGATAACATTAAGCCATTCGTGAACTGATTAAGCTACCTCTGTGTATGATAAGACCTCCATCTTCACTGTGGTGCTCACCTCTTCCTCCCTCTGTATTAGCATTGCTGTGGGAAGGCAGATGGCAAAATGGGATCTAGTCCTCTTGGAGGTCGGGCCTTAGATTGCTAAGGGAATTGTGGGTCCCGGAGCTCTGTAAGCAAACATGAGCCTCATTTCTCTCGGATGCATCTTATGCTACTCCCCCACTAAGCTGAAGGACATGGGGGAATGGCTGGGACCTACTCAGCATGTTCTTTCTGTCTTGTAAAAGTAAGTCTATGTCAGCAAGCTACGGTCCTGGGTGGCCTCAGGAGACACCCTCTGCCTCTAAGCAGACCCATCTCCTCTGAACACGCTCCTCACAAGGCCATGGTCACCATCACCTGGGAGCAAACCCATACCTGCAGAACTATTCTTCATCCACGTCTGTTACAAACTGAGAATGGTGCTCGGGTGACTTGCTGTGCGTTTTGCTTAGGTGGAGTTTTACTGCATGTTTGCTCACAAATGTCCGACTGCACAACTTACACTTGAATTTAGAGTCTGTGTCCTCTTCTCCAGCTATTGTTTCCGGAGACCTCTGAGCCGATGGCACCCGGGAGATCTCCTGCTCCACCTTGCTCGGCTGGTCGGCTGCCATCCGGGTCATGTCCTTCATTTGGAAGCCCAGGTGAGACTCTAAGTGGCTGATGTAAGTAGAGGGGGTTCTGAACTGGGACGCACAGTCACTGCAGTAAAAGACGGGATGCCCTTTGTCCATGTTTTTCAGGAATTTTGTCCCACCCGTTTTCCTAAGCTGGTACTTGACATTGGCCAGCCAGTGGCTGATTGTGGTCATCGAGAGCCCTGTGAACTTTGAGATCTGCATCCGCTCTTGCGGGCCCAGGTCAGAAAGCAGATATTTGCCCTCTGACGTCTGGAAGAGGCTCGAGGCAAACTGCGCTTGCAGGATGAGAAGATGCTGGGGGTTCCAGTTGGACTGCCTGCCCTTTCTTTTGTGCAAAGTTGAGACTTCGCCAGAAACATCCTCAAAGCGCCTGACATCCATTTCCAACTTCATAGGAGGGACCCTGGAGGAAGCAGCTGGCTTTGGGGTGGTGGCTTTGGGGAGGACCTTGACCATGTCAGCAATGTCACACAGAGCATGCTTCTGAGGTGGGGATGTGCAGGATTGTGCTTGCGAGGACTCGGCTCTCTTGCTTTTGGACTTGGTCAGGTCAATGGGCTGATCGCTGTTCTCAAACAGGTAGTGTCGTGACACACTGGCCGGCCTGGTGGAGGAGGGACTTGTGACAGGCTTGTCCACCACGCTGAGACTGGGCTTGTGGAACATGGAGATTGTGCTTGAGTTGGGGCTGGAGCAGGAAGGCGAGCGCAAGGGCTCCGTAGCTTTGCCCAGGTGGTTGTTCAGGACTGACTGCAGTGCGCTGAGTGGGTTGATGCCAGGCAGGGCTGGGCTGTGGTTTGCCGGTGCACATCCATTGCTGAGAGAAGACACTGGTTCTAAGGGCTCTGCTTTCTCTTTCAACAGCTTCTCTTCCTCCTTCTGGGGACAGGGCTCAGCCTTTCTGGATTCTGAAGGTGCTTCGGTTTTGGAGAAACATTCCCCTTCAGACTGGCTGAGGGATGTGGCCTCTTCGTGGGGACTTTCCTTCCCACACTCCTTCACGACTTCATCTTTGTCTTCTGACTCCTTTTTAACTTGAGCGTACAGGGCCAGGTTTGTGGGCACAGGGCCAAGAGGCATGACTTTCCATTTGGGTGCGATCGGCCTTAGCTTGTTGGCCAGGTTGGGTCTGATCTGCAGTATCTGAGAGCCCATTGCCATGGGTGGCTTGGCACCCTCTGACAGCTGGTAGGCTGCATGGATACTCGGGTATGCACTCCAGCTGGGAGCACCATTTTGGGCCTTGTTGATGGCTGTGGTTACAGTATTTTCCAGGGACTTTAGGATGTCCCCACCGCCCTTGGAGCCATCTTCCAAGTCCTCCTCTCTTAGGTACTGGTACTTTATGGCCGGGTCGAGAGGTTTCTGTAGAGGGTCTTCAAAGTCCTCGCTTTTCATGCCTTGTTGGTGGTCTTCGCTGACCTCCTCCGCCTTCTTCTTGCTCTCTTTTTTTAACTCAGTGGTGGAGGCTGTGCAGTCAGCAGTGGAGTTACTTGACGGCTTAGGGGCCTGCGAATCGCTGTTTGGGGTTTCAGACAGAGACTGCATTTTTTCCACGGCCAGCGGGTCCAACACCAGCTGCTTTCCTTTCTTGGAGGCAGAGCTGGTAACTTTGAGAAAGTGACCCGTGACCATCATGTGGGTGGTGAGTTGCTGTAAGGTATCATGAGAGCTGCCACACTCCATACACTTTAAGATCTGGGACTTGCAGGCCTCGAACTGCCAGGTGTAGCTGGCTCCGTTTTGGTAGCCGTAGCGGCTGTTGGAGGGCAGCTGCAGGCTGGCATTTTTCTGGGAAGAAAATGAATCTGCGATCGACCCTGTGGTAGAGTCAGGGGAGCAAGGCCTGTTGACATCGAAAACACGTTTCTTGGCTGGTGTGACCATTTTAGAGGAAATGGTTGGTACCGGTTCCTTCAAAGGCACTTTTTGGTAATGTTTTGTCTTTATCATGTGGACGCTCAGATCTTGCAGGGAATCAAAGGAGTCACCGCAAAACATACACTTCAGAACCTTTTGCGCATCCTCCTTGTCCACGTCTTGGAAAGCTCTTTTCCGGGGCTTTGAGTAGCTTGTGGGTCTGAGCTTATCTTTTTTGCGGTTGTCATCTTGATAGTGGCCTGTCTCATTCATGTGCACCGTCAGCTCTACCAGAGTGTCATAGGCTGCGCTGCACTGCCTGCACCGGAACCTGCTGGCCCCGGTGAACACCGAGCCGCACATCTTACTGCTCTGCCGGTACAGCTGCACGGAGCTGAATAGGCTGGGCTTAGAGACGGACCTGGAAGGCAAGTTCTGCTGGAGGCTTTTGGACAGGGCATCTTGGTGCCAATCAAAATCATTCTTGTTGCTGCCATTGCGGGTGTCACAATTCCGTCTCTCGCTGTTGGATAATTTGAACCCGAGGCCCAGGCCTGACCAGTAGGAATCTGAGAGGATATTGGCATAGACGGCTGTCATTTTATCCATGCAGCTATGGGGTTCGCTTGGAAGCTTGGGGTGAGCCTTTGCTTTCTTGTCTGAGGCATCTCGGCCACAGATGCTCTTGATGTCTGACACCTGGTCGCTGGCATCACTCAGAAGAGATTCGTTTTCTGCGTCCTGATTGGACAGGTGACTCCCCGGAGAGTTCTGGCAGCTGAAGTAGCCTTTCTGCTCTGGGACCGTTTCTAGCTCCTCGTCTGTGCCAGGGTCATTGCTGCCCTGACGCTGAGCCACTGAACCACTGTCTTCCTCCTCCTCCTCTTCCTCCTTTATTTCTTCCTCTTCCTTCAGCAATTCCTCCTGGGCATAGCCTATGAGAGATACAGAGAGACGAACTAAACATAACGGCTCACAGAGTCCATCCCCATGTTCCTGTCCACCCAGGCTGAACCGAACAGCAATTTAATCTATACTTTTACCAGCTGCAAGCAACAGAAACAGGGGAAGAAACAAATGATGCATTTTTATTTGGGGGCAGGGTCTCATGTCGCCCATGCTGGCCTCCAATTGGCTGTGTTGCAGGACATGAACTTTGGATCCCCTTACCTCTAACTCTGCAGCTCACACTGTCACATTCAGTTTGGGTGGGGCTGGGATGGACCCAGTTTTTATGCATGTTAGGCAAGCACCATGACAACTGAAAACATCTCCAGGCCCCAAATGATGTCCTTCGTGACATCCATTGGCTGTTCCTTTTTAACTCAGCAAAGACATAATTCTCTACGAGTGATTACTATCACAAGTTAACAATTTAGGGATCAAATATCATTCTGATATTGCTATAATGAGGCATCGGCTGAAGTTGTGTGTATGGCTTTCGGGAAATCTAGGTTGAAATACAAATCCTATTAGCATCACAGTACAGGAGCATATTGACTCATAGAAAGTTAGTTTGGCCCTTACGCATCAATGGCAAACTGTCCCAAGATACCTGGGAATATTGGCATGCATGCATCTAAATTGGAACCTGGGTGCATAACCATTTTGTCTTTGATAGCCTATGTCTTTCTGTTGTAACACTTTTATTTATAGGGAGTTGCTGGGAGAAAGACCATGGAGTATGCAAATACAATCTCCCACCAATGGCTGAAAAATTATGTAAGCTCAGCAAAATACAATGATTTTAAAATAATGGGGAATGGTGTTAGAATGGGAGGTTTGGGGGCTAGTCTATTATTCTCACACGGGTTTATGAAGACCTTTCCAGACATGGCTAAAAATACTCTCTCGATCTTGTTCCTGTAATTTCAAACGCACTGTGATTTGTGGGTACCCGTCATGAGATGCCAATTACATAGTTGATTTGTGGATGCAAAATGCTATTGGGGAATGCATGCTTTCCTTTCTCTGAGAGGACTGAGGGCCAGTAATTGCATAGGGAAAATGAAGGCAGGAGAGAGCGGGTGCAAAAGAGAATTAATGGACAGATATCCATCAGCACCAATGGCGAATGGGACTATTTATGCCCATGGGTTCATTTTCTCCACCTGGCCTTTCAGAGTCATGGATAAAATGCAACCAAAGATGCCCCCATGCAAAAGAGACACAGCTCCAAATCTGCAAGGTTAGCATGCTCTTAATGCAATGTTTTCTCCGTAAACATCACTCTCCCTCTTGATGGTAGGGGGGAAAAACAAAACAAAAGAAAAGCCTTAGATCAGGTTCTATTCTTTCCATCCACAATAACTAAAGCTTGGAAGGGGGATGTCCCTGCACTCAAGGCTTGCAGAGAGAGTTCAGAGAGAAGGGGGTTGGAAGAACGAGGCAGTAGTCAAGGCTATCACAGCTGATGCTGTTGATGGAGAATTTTAATTGAGAAATTTTTCTCCCCTGACACCTAGGTAAATCACTGCAAATGCATTTTGGTGTGTGTATGCATGGTCACATGTGCGTGGGCATGTGTTCAGCTTTGTGTGAAGATAAGAGATTGAGGCTCTCCTTGGAGCCTCTCGTCCTTATGCATGGAGGTAGGGTCCTCTCACTTGTGCTGGCTCACTAGGCTAGTCTATCTATCCAGCTTGCTCTGTGGGTCCCCTGTGTCTGCCACCGGGATAATGGGTTCACATCTGCCTGGCACATATGTGGTTGTCTGCTTGCCATCCAAACTCTGGTCCTCATGTGTACACAGTGACCACTGAACCATCTTTCCAGCCTGCAAGCATGTCCTTCCATTTTTATCTACTATTCGCATATAGTGAATGCTGTTATTTATTTATTTTTTTTATAGGCCTGGAGACGGAGACTTAAAAATGAAGAAAGTTGCAGATCTTGCAGGGTCCCCACAAAGCCTGCTCCTGTTTGTTGAAGGAATCCATTGTTTCCTGCAGGACACTCCCCTTTCTCTCTACTGCCAACTTAATGAATAAGAAAATCTTCCCAGGGCGGCAGTGAAATTAGGTTGGATGTCTAAGCAGTTAGAGAGAGGATTGTGGGAAGCTGAAGGCAAGGGTCCATGGCTTTGAGGACGGGAGTCCATAAAACAAGATTAAATGTAAAAGTTCAGCCTGGTCACGAGTTTTATGGTTGTGTTTGTTATTTTATTGTTATTGGTGAGGTGCTTTTTTTGCTTTCCCAGCAAGCTGACAAGCAGGTTTTTCATGAAATTGGTGCTGCTGGTCTCTAGTGCCAAAAATTGATTGGATGAAAGGAAAACTATCCAATCCAGCCAAGCAACCATTAATAAGTGGCCACTTCTTGCAAGAAAACTGAATTTCGAAACAACAGAATGCCCGCATCAGACAAGACAAGACCCTCCATGGCGATCACATCTCTTTTTCTTCCTCCAGGACTAACTTACGCTTTTTAAAGAGGTATTACACTATTATGTTTGGGGAGAAAGTTCTTAATTGTAAAAAAAAAAAAAAAAAAAAAAAAAAGAAAAGAAAAAGAAAAGGGTAAGTTTCCTGAGACATGGGAGATACTTCAAAAATCAGATGCATTTTAGCCATCAGATGTGGGGCACTTTGCGGCCGCTGTATCTCTTTGTAGTCCTAAGCAGGTTGTGAGTCCTCCCAATCCTCCTGCCTCAGTGTTGGTAATGCAGGCACCAGCCACCACTCTTGGTGAAATAATCTCACTTTTGTGAGTGAAGTCAGGCAAAATTTATGAAGTAAATACAGTCACTTTTGAAAAGGAAATGGGTGTTATGATTCTGGGACAAATACCAAGTAAACAACGTTATCCATGACTTCTCCAGGCTATAACATATTGTCATCATGCTTATGGGTAGTGTGCTCACACAGAGAAAGAAAAGTATGTACACACACACACACCATATAAATATATATAACACACATACACAACATATAAATGAATATACATATATATATACATATATAATACATACACCATATAAATATAACACACACACACACACACACACACACACACACACACACACCCCTGCCAACCAACACAGTCATTTTCTAGCAAGGAACAGGAAGTAGTGTTCCTTCCCAATTTTCCTTTTTTCTGCTGACATTTGGTGCTGAGCTTCCTGGACTGGTTCAACCTCACAATCTACTTTGTCCTTCTAAATGGATTCCCCAGAAGAAAAGTCGGAGACAGCACACTCCTCCCCCACAATACAGATAAAATTTTCTGCTTAATTAGGCATTGACATGTTTACTATAACCTTTACAGCAGAGTAACTCGTGCTGAGAGACCCTTTTTGTCTGTTTGCCTCTGCAGAATAGACTAAATCTCATGCACCGGATAAAATAACATGTTGAAAAGCCTCATAAAAAAATAAATAAAAAATAATAAAAAAAAGTGCCGGTGCACCTGTCAAAGGGAATGTATCTTAACAATGGCTGAGGGTTCCAAGGAGTTTTTCGAAACCGCATTTTAATATTAAACATTTAAAATCGTTCACTTGATCCAAGTGATTGTGTTTGCCACCGGCAGCGGAGGTGAGCAAGGAGAGGAAGCCAGCTAGAATCTGGATGACTGGGGAGCATAATGAGGGCCTGTCTCTCTTGCCATCGATGAGTTGTTTAATGAGTTGGCATTGCGTGTGAATCTGGCTGTAAGCAGATGAGTGGCAAATTCATTCTTATGAATACTTGCTTAGCAAAAGGAACGATCACAATTACGCCAAGGCGGGTGTGTGTGTGTGTGTGTGTGTGTGTGTGTGTGTGTGTGTGGTGTGTGTGGGTGAGCAGCACTCTATAGAACCTTTTTGTTAATTTTTTTTTTTTTGGCTTGGAGATCAATCTAATTTTCTAATCCCATGCATTTTCTAATTCCACCCCTTACCTTTGTTTGAATCTGGCCACAAGAAACTTGGCATCTCCAGGACAGTGAACAAACGAACAAACCCTGTCAATTCTTTGTCTCAATGATAGGCTTGTGAGACCATTTCTCTTCCATGCTTCCCTTTGCTCAGATAGGGGTACCACACACCGGGATAGAATGCTGGCCTTTTCACTTCTAGTCACTCCAGTCTCCCAGAATGTTTTTTAGTTTTAGACAGATTCTATGTATATAACCCAGGCTGGTTTTGAACTTAAAATTCTCTTGTCTTAGCCCCTGGAGTTCTGGACTGACAGGTGTTCACTGGCTCTGTTGCTAGAACATTTTATGCAAAACAGGTCAGGCCAGGAAGTTCCTGTTTTAACTCTGGCAATGGCTTTGGCACACTTCAAGTGAAATGCAGACTCTTAGGACTGATTATAAGAGCCGATAGGACTGGGTGTCGGTGTGCCTCTCGGCTCTGGCCTCTGGTAGCCACACCCTCCCGGCTCTTCGTGTCTAAGGAGCAAACTGACCACTAACCTGGTTCTCTACAATTGTATATTTCACCCCCTAGGAGTTCATCTCTTTGTTTGGCCAAGACCCTTTCTCAAAAAGATATTTTTCCTGGCCGGTTTCCCTTCTTTCTGTAAATGCAGTCTTAGCCACCCCGAAGCACTGTTCTAACAATGGTCCCCTTCCCCAGGTTACTGATGACTTGGGGCTCTCACTGAACATGGCATTAAAATACCTGCCACAACAATCCACCTCACCAACGGTGCTTCTTGTAGCCACCCTGGCACACATGGCTACACCTTGTCCACAAATGTCTGAATGAACGGAGGATTGGATGAGTAGATCAGATGAGAGCATTACTTTCTCTGCATCCTCAGGCTACTGAACAAGAGGACTGGCTCTCTCATGACCAGTGATCGCCCCCCTCCAAATAGATCAGGTGTGAGTTACAACTACCTTTATCAGTTTACCCAGGGGGACGAGAGCACACCAGGAAGAGGGCCTTCCGGCTAATGGAGCCACTGGCTTTCTTGTTGGCGAACTTTCTGCTCTGTGGGTTTGT